TCACACCATGTATTTGGTGAAGACATCAGTTTCAGTCCTCGACCATAACATCTGCAGAAACATGAAGAGAACTACTCGCATTAGCAAAACTGATGGAAATGGAATTATATACTTAAGGGTGCTTTCAAGGATTACAAAACTTTTCTGTGTGATAGCAACACTGCTCAATGCAAACCAATAGACACTGAGAACACTTAGTTGTGTGGCAATACTGGTGTAATGAAATAGGGGCCATTTTGCTACCAAAGAATCTGAGATTTTACATTCAATTCTAATAAATTCAAAGCTTTAACTAATTCAGTTCAAACCATGTATTTCTTTTTCCAACTAGATGTGTTGGAATAATCATATTCCATGATTATTTTTCTTCATTGTCCCTGACTACAGCTATACTGGTCATTGGCCACATTTATTCTTAACCCTTAACATTTTTAACAATTTGGCATAACAATTATTGCTCCATTCTTTGGTATGAAACAAACAATTTATAATCCACCGTTCTGCTTACATAAGCACTCCAGGAGCTTACAACAATGAAAATAAATACAAAAAACATCGTAAAATCAATGAAGTTACAACAAACAATTCATTGTTAATAACAATCTCTTAATAAATAAGATGCACTTTTGACATTTCTGAAATATTAAGAGATAGAAAGGCAAATGTAACTCCCAAGGGAAAGCATTCCATAATCTGGAAAGTCCTTCCCCTATATGCCAGATAAGCAAACTTTGGAAATCTTCATTGGGCCTCCCCTGTTAATTTAAGTGACTGGACAGTTTAGAGGAGAATAAGCAATCCCTCACTCAAACACACCCACCCTTGTAGGATTGTATAAGGTCCATTACCTTCCCCCAAGACTGAGCAGATCACTTTTTTGGAGCACACATTTTTCCATGTTCTGGCCAATAAGGAAACCTGAAACTTTTACATTCACTTTGGATGGTGAAATAACACATACACAATTACAGGCATCTCCAAGCAACTTCCAAAGGCAGGATACTTCTGGACGGTATTTTGCTGCCCTGAAAGAAAGAAAAAATGATTAGAAATGAAGTTCATCGAGAACAGAAAGTATTAGGTTTCCACAGAGGTTCTCAAGTGGAAGGAAATTAATCTTCTCCAAACCCCCTTTCCTACTACAACCTCTGATTTATTTTCTTTTTTTTAATAGATATTTTATTAGTTTTTAACTGTAATAATCTCCAGTGCCTGGTGTACAGCGTGTTGTCTTGGTTTATGTTTTAACAAGAAAAAAAGGACAATAATAATTAATTAACAATCAATAATAATTAAATTTGGGACTTCCGGTGGCAGGCGATTTCGTCGGTCGCAGCTGTTTGCTGCCTCCCGCCTGTTTTGCGTAAAAGCCGGTTTGACAGCCAGCATCAGCTGTCAAACGGCTTGATACCTTTCCCCTGGGCATAAGGGGATAGGTGAGCTGCCCGGGGTAGGAGTTGAGTTCCCGAGTCGTCCTATATGGACGATGTAGGCGA